ACAATCAGAGACATGATTACAAGCAGATCAAAGCTGGAAACTAAAAATTCAGGTGTGAGACTTTTTTGGAAGGACAGGTGGGAAAGATGGTGGGGTAGCAGCATTAGTACAGTATGGAACAAGTGGCATCACAAGAAATCAGAGATGTAGAATTTAAATGGGTCAGAGAAAGAAATAAGAAGGGAAAGACTGCACTGATAGGTATAGTCTATAGTCCCTCTAATGCTGGCTATTCTTAGAATGGAGAAGAAATCAAGTGATAATAAGGGCATGTAAATAACATGTACATCATTCGGGAGTGTCTCTAATCTTCATGCAGATAGGAATAGTCAGACTGACAGGGGTAGACACGAGAAGAATTCAGAGCATGTTTGGGACAGTCTCCTAGAATGATATGTTGTCGATCCAACCAGGGATCAGCCTATTTTGCATCTGGCAATATGTAACGAGGCAGGTTTAATAAATTGTCAGAGTAAAAGAACTCTTAGGAAACACTGAACATATTACAGTAGAATTTATCATTCAATTTGAGGGGTGGCAGGGGGGAGAATTGGAGTTGAAAACAATCGTTCTAAGCTTTAGTGAAGGTAATTATAAAGGAATGAGGGCAGAGCTATCAGGATACATAAAAGGAGAAGCTGTGTATAATGTATTTGGATTTTCAAAAGATATTTGAAAAGGCACAGCATATTAGACTACTTATTAAGATAAAAGCTCATCATTTTGGACAACTGGGTGCTGTTTCCAGAAGAACAAAAAACTCATTTGGCTACATCTATAAATCAAAAGCACTGAGATCACCAAATTCAGGCTGAATCCAAACAAATCCAAAAATTACAGACTTTACAGTCTTTATTCATTTGTTAGACTCTGATTGACCAACTGACGCCTTCCTGCTTTCTAATCTGTACTTGTGTGCACAGAAGTTAAAGCTAACTTCATTATTTTACTGAGATTGGTTCAAGCATAAAGCTAACTGTTTTGTCAAACACAAGGAAACCTGTGTTTTTCAAAACCACATTGCCTCAGCAGTTGCGTGTTCATTAAATTGGCAATTATATCCTTTTCAAATGAAACAAAGACAATGGATGTATTCAAATAAGGAGGGACACACAGGGAGCAGACAGTAACTTACTGATTTTTGGGTTAATTATGCATGTGCAGTCATAATCTACAGTTTATTCCTCAATTTGGTGAACTGTGTTAATCCAAGAGATGTTTTTATTCTAAAATCTGAAATTTTATCAAAGTGATGGACATTGTTTTCAGAGTAATGTAAACTCATTAGAAAAATTCTACATGATTATTTTTGCTAACATTTAGCATCAGCATAGCAACTGTAACATGTATTCCCCACTCCACCCTGCCCAAGTCTAATCTTGAGGAAAGCTCGTGAAGCATTACTTTTAGTGACAGTCTTGATAGTTATTCCAACTCATCAGTATTTAATTTGTGCATTTTGACAATACATACAGCACTTTGTAAAAATAGAACACTCAAACACAGCTCAATAATTGACAACAACAGTGGACAGTGCACAATTCTGACCTATTCTCCCAGGTTAAAGGACTTCAGAAACTTTAAGCTTTCATCCACTGAAACCACATTTCATTGGATTCAATTCCCCAGGTTCAACAAGTAATCTCATAAGTAACTTTAAACTTTTAAAAGATTTAACAGTATTAGCCTCAAATTCGATAATCTCTGAAAACGGGTAGAAGAATACTGATGAGTGGTTAACCTATGCCCTCTGATTCAGATGCAGCTAGCGAACAAATTCCTGCTGCCTGCTAATGGTTTGACTGGAGCAGGTACTGGAAGTCATTCTAAAAGTGATATTGACATGGGAGAGACAAAGGAATGAAACAGACAACATGGCTGAGAGCAGGCTGCATGATTTTCTATACTGCACTGGAGGCCTTGGTGTTTGAGGTTGAGAGGAGAGCTATCATTTATTTCTAGTAAGACCAGGAAGCCTCTAGACAGAATTTTGTGAAGGTAGTGTTAACAGATGGTTGTAGTAATCTGTGCCAGCTCCCTAGCTCCAACTATTTGGATGCAGAGCTGCAAGAAATTCAACGAACACTGAAACTGAATGAGTCACATGAGTGTTTAAGGTTGCTGAACTCATCTTTAGTTGCCAACTAGCCTGAAACTATACAATTCTCACCCATTCCTTCGTTCATCTAAAGACAATCTCTTGATTTTGTTTCACCTCACCCTCGCACATTTAGCATTTCTCAAGCTTCACACCCACAACTCGCAGTTTACACATCACTGCAAGCTATTGAGCTGTGACAGTCACATCATCCAAACATACTGTACCGCATTCACAGGCACAATTCCCTGTCTCTTGCAGGATGAGGTAACACTCATCCCTCCTTGGTGCCCTCATTGGAATAACCATGACCAAAGTTGTGGCAGTGGTGAGGATGAAATTGATGGCAACAACATGGTCATAACTAGTCCTCCTTCTCAAATCCTGCTTCCTCCTCATCCCACACTCTCTCCTGATTTACCTCTTGTTTCCTTTCATTGGTGTCAAACACAACCCTGATTCTTGCATACAAGATTTTTGAAAATAACACTGAGGCAGAATGTGCTCACATTGAGACACCAGATCTAAGCGATCCAAAGCCAGGGCGAGGGATAAGGATAGCAATGATGCTAGTTTAGCGGACAGCAAAGGTCACATGATTTCTACTGCAAAGTACATTGATAAGATGGGGCAGCCTGCAGAAAGTGACTGATAGGTATGTGTATTCGCTCACATGCCCGTCAGAAAACTTGCAGTCAATGTCAAGGAGCCTGAAAGAGTGCAGCTCCAATGTTGCACAAGGTTAATTGCAGGGCTTAGAACTGATCATTCCCAGTGTGATAATAGTGACCAACTTCGTTAGCACATTTGTGAACCGAATTTAATGGCTGATGTCTCAACTTCTGCTGTAGAGAGATTGTTGCTTATGAGTCTGAAAGGGTTAATACTGAACAATGCCATAAGCATGACTCACATGATGATCTCAGCCAAAGGAGAAGTGGGAACTAACATCTGATCCTTGTCAGAGTCTCTGTAACAATGTCTGTTGTATCAATGTAAAGTTGTAATTGTTAACATATAACAAATCACATGTCAAATACCAAGAGGCTCTTCTAGTTGGAGGAAAACTACTTACTAGTCCATCACTTTGCAGCAATCAGGCCTATAGCCCCGTACACTTAGAGGGAGCCAACACATGAAATGCTGACCCAGTCTACCTGCATATACGACATTGTCACTCCTGCCTATGTCCCTGCCTCTGGGACTGAAGGTCTGGATTCAAGTCCCACTCACACCAGTTATACTTTCAACAATTCTCTTCTATCAAGTAGAAGATACAGAAGTTTCAGTACAAGAAAAGGACAGATTCAAGATCAGCTTCTTCCATGCTGTTAGTAGACTTTTAAATGGACTTCTTAAAATGTTAATGTTAATCTGTCTGCACCGTCTCAGCAGCTGTAAGCCTATATCCTGCACTCTGTTCTGTTACCCTGAGGCACTTGCACAGTACAATCTGCCTGTACAGCACTTAAGACTTTTCACCGTATCTCAGTACATGTGACAGTTATAAAGTCATTTTTAATCAAGCTTGTCAGACATGTAATATCTACAACATAGCCAGTGGTTCCAATTTGATTTGGTTGTGCATACAACAGAAACCAGCCCATGATAAAATTTCAGATCTTCTGCATCCACAATACTTTGATTTTATTTTAGAAACCACCTAATGCCTGATTGCTACATGAAAGCTCAGACTGAAATCATGGGCATTAGCTGCTAATGTGCAAACTCAGACTGCTGCCATCATAGCTATAGCAGCTTGCAGAGTAACAGCAACCTGTCTTCCAACAATTTCTATGAGTGCTAAGGCACTGATGTGGGGAACAGTAGAGGCACCATGGACCACTAGTCTGCTGTCCCCGCTTATGCTGACAGCATTCATCACTGAGCATTCAAAGAAGAAAAATGAATCCAAATAGAACGGAAAAACAAACATTAGCCAGAAATCAGTATTATCATGTTAAAAGGTACAATGTGAAGAGCTAAGTAGAGTCATGGATTTTTAAAGCATGAAAAAATGTCCTTCAGCTCATCAAGCACTTATTTATGCTCATCCTATATCCAGCACATGACCCATAGCCTTGTATCCCATGGTGCTTCAAGTGACCATCTAAACACTTCAACTTTGTGATGGTTCCCGCCTCTAATCACTCTTTCAGCGAGTGAGTTGCAAATATATCACTACCACCCCCGGCCAAAAAAAATTCTTTAAATTCCCTCTAATCCTCCCATCCTTTCCCTTAACTCCACTGTCCCTAAATATTGACGCTACACCCCCCACCCCACCCCCATAGTGGAGAAAGTGTTTCATCCCATCTCTCTTATCTATGCCTTCCTGAACTTTTTATACCTCATTCAAGCTCCCCCCCACCTCAGTGTTCTCTGCTTTCAGGAAGAACGAAACAACCCAGCCTAACTAATCTCTCTTTATAGCTGAAATGCTCCAGTCGAGACAATATCCTGGTGAATCTTTTCTGCAACCTCTCTAATGCAAACACATCGTTCCTGTAGTTTAGTGACTAGAACTGCACACACTACTCCTACTGAGACCAAACTAACATTTTATACATCTCCAAGAAAACCTCTATTTTCTTATATTCTTAGCCTCAAGTAATTTGCATCATATATGTCACCTTAATCATCTTATCCTGTTGTCTTCCAAGAACTGTGGGCAGGCACACCCAGTCCCTTTGGCCCTCTGTAATTGGTAGGGTCCTACCATTACATTAAAGGTTTAAATTATGCATTTACTAATCTTTTATTTTGTACTAGAGGTATTTCTCTATTTGACTGCCATGATGGCTACATGATTTATTTTAGTCACTCATGACTAAAGTAATAAATTTTACTAATGACTGAAGGTTCCTTTTGATGCTCAGTTTATTTATTTGAATCTGTCTAGTTTTACAGATGTTTCAAAGCACTGCTGACCTGTCAGAATTCACCTGTTGGTATAAGCACAAAAAGTTTATCGAAGACTACAAAGAATAGTCGCAATATCCAAAGGAAGAACACCAGCTTCATGAGAGCTTTGGTTGCTCAACGCACATCTGTCAATAAAAACCCATATAGCATGAAAGAAGATACGGTCAACAATGCTTTAAGTGAATTTTCAAAGCCACCAGTATCTCTAGTGGTACGCTACAATGACTGATCAAATGGAGACCTCTGAAGGCAATTCTGTGGTGTTTAACATTGCTTTGTAAGGATCAAGTTTCCCTTGAAAATTAATGGAATCCCAGACAGTGGCAGATAAAGAGCCTCTAAAGCAATAGAAATGAAATAGATTCTGTCTATGATAATTAAAATATACAAAAAGAAACATTATGGACCAAGGAAACTTCTGGATATTGAGGATCTGAACCTTGGCTGACTCTCCAATTCCAGGTTAAACAGTAAATTCACTTTGTTTGTTTCAAAAGTTGCTCAATCCAAATTTAATTTATTGTGCTGGTGTTTTAAAAAGTAATGGAGACCATGGAGTTGTAAAATTGGCATTATCTAAAAGGAAAATTGGATAACTTTTTTTAAAAATGTCAAACTATAGATCCTGTCCATAGTCTGTACAATGGTTTCCATACATTGTGCGTTGCAGAAATAAATACATGGCATGAAATTCCTCCACTTAACTTAGAGGCATTAACTCATCAATAATAAAATGGACTAAAACCTTAATTAGAATGACCAGCCTTAGGAATGTGAGAAAAATGTTCTGCGTTCACATATTTCCAAAACATGTCTGTTAAAAAAAAGTTAGACAAAACAACAAAAAACTGACATTTGTGATAATGATTTGTATTAATATTGGAATGTGGGCTTGATATTGCACGTTGAAAACACAGATGACATTAGTTCGAAGAACAATGTCAAAAGCCAAAACAAAGGGCAATGGACTCTTTAATACTAGCCTTATCGAAAAATAACAAAACCACATAAACAATTTTTTTTCTGATGAAGGGTCTAGGCCCGAAACGTCAGCCTTCCTGCTCCTATGATACTGCTTGGCCTGCTGTGTTCATCCAGCTCTACACCTTGTTATCTCAGATTCTCCAGCATCTGCAGTTCCTACTATCTCTAAACAATCTCACTGTTGTCTCTCTGCTAGCATTAGCGCAACCTGTTACATTAAATCTCATTATTTCAGAAGTAGTGGGCAGAATGAGCATAAATACTACATATACATTTCAACCAGATGACTGGATGCTTAAAATAAGCCAAATCAGGACTTCTTCCAAATTCCTCTCAACAGGAAAATTATACTTAATATAATTGGTTCAGTTGCATTTTCCCTGTAGGCAAATGATCCAAACTCAATTTGTCTGCGGGCCATGCAATTTTCCGTCTGCTTTAGGCTTTCATTCTTATTTATAAATAAGCAATCTTTAAAACACTGCAGTTCCGGGTGGCAATGGGCTGAAAATTACGTGGAGTTTTTCAGAGGGATTCTCACCATGAGAATGTTGTGGCACAATTTCATTCAATAATCTCATCAAAAGCACCATATTAACTATTGCTGCATCCCGTAGCATCCCTCACATCTGATCCCACCTTACTAGGCATCATTCCAGGATGAATTTGCCACTCGCTGGATATCCACCAAGAGATCAGCACCCGTTGCACACATACCATCTTTAAAAGGCCGCTGTCCACATTGGTCAGGGTTGATCATCAGTGTTGCCCTCTTCAGCAAAGTAATAATACAGCAAACAAAGCCATGCTGTCCACCTCACATAGCCAGTATGGCAGATAGCCTCTCACAGATGCAATCCCATCCCCGCAACTGAGTCACGGCTTACCCACCGCACCACATAGTTAACCTGTCTGTAGCTACATTCCATCTCTCTCTGTCACCGCTAATTTGCCCCCAATCCTAATTGGAGACCCACAATTTTTCATTATCCAGCAGTGAACATCACATACAGGAAAACATTTGGACAATTCTAGACACAAGCTTTTATTTGCAGCAACCAAAAGAGAACACAGACAAAACTAGAGGCTGCAGGACATCTCCAACAATGCAAACCAAATGCTGACACCACAACAAATGACTAGTGCCCAATCCAGGATGGTCTGCTGCACCCAGCTCTCATTGAGTAGAACTGGGTGTCGTTCATGTTCTGCCCGGCTCGTAGCACCTAACGTAGCTGAGCTGTCACATACAAGAACTTCATCCTCTCCAATGTTCTCCTCCTCCAACGTGTTCCCCCAGCTCCTCAGCATCCAGCACATCACCTCGTTGCCCATTCCAATTATGTAGAGCACAGCACAGCAGGATGGCTTGGCACAGACTGTCCTAGTTGACGTACTGAAGGGGCCCTCCTCATACCAGTCCAAGCAGTGGAACTGCATCCTATTATCCGCTCCACAATGGCCCGATTCAAAGCATAGGCGGGGATTTTGCAATGGTGCCATAAGCCATGCTCACACCGGGTAGCCCTTGCCCATAGTAACCAGCCTCGCAAAGCACCTGGACTCTGAAATGTACCAGGCACAGAAGATTGGAAGGAGTTGTGGCAGCTGCCAGGGAGTGGGCTCACATCTCTAGGAAGTGACAACAGTTATCACACATCAGCTGAGCATTAATGGAATGGAATCCTTTCCTAGGCACCCAGGTAATGCCCTCGAGACTTAGGTTCAAACCTAAAGAAAACCTTGAATTAAGAAGTCTGCTGATGACCTTGAAATCATTAATGTTCTTCAGTGAAGGAAGAAGGGTCCCGACTCGAAATGTCAGCTTTCCTGCTCCTCTGATGCTGCCTGGCCTGCTGTGTTCCTCCAGCTCCACACTGTGTTATCTCTGACTCCAGCATTGGCAGTTCTTACTATTTCTGAGTCTTGTGTCCTTACTTGGCTTGGCCTGTGTGTGACTCCAGACCCACAGTAATCTGTTTGGTGTTTAATTGCCCTCTGAAATGACTTAGCAAACCACTCAGTTGTGTCAAACTGGTAAAAGTCTCAAAGGAAAAGAAAGGGAGAAACCAAAAAGACGACCTAGCTTCAACATAGACACTAGAAGCAACAGAAAGCTCAACTCTGTCGACCTTGCAGAGTCCTCCTTACCAACATCTGGTGACTAGTGGCAACACAGAGAGCTGACTTACAGGCAGTAACTGATATGATTCTGTGGGTATGCCTATCTCATAGACCATGTACCAGACAACACCATCCCTCAATGTTCTTTTCCACTGGCAGGACAGACCAAGGAGAGGTGGCTGCATAGTGATAAATAGTCTAGACAGAATTGTCTGGGAGTCATCATTATCGGCTCCAGACCCCGTGAAGTCTTGTGGCATCAGGTCAAACATGGGCAGGGAAACCTACTTATGACCATACAGCATCCTTCTTTGGCTGATGAATCGCTATTCCTGCATGTTGAGCATCACTTGGAGGAAGCATTGAGAGAGACAGAAGTGTAGTCTGCACTCTGATTGGGGGACTTCAATGGCCATCACCATGAATGGCTCAGCAGCACCACTACTGACCAATCTGGTTGAAATCTATAGCACATAACTGCTAAATTGGGTCCATGGCAGGTGATGAGGGAACCGATGAGAGGGATAAACAATACTGACATCATCTTCACGAATCTGCCTGTCACAAACGCATCTATGACAGTACTGGTAGGAGTCGCAACAGTGTGCACCAGGGGACCTTCTCAAGTCCAATGCTGACCCAGCCTGTACAGCCCATATCACAAGTGATTAAAAACAAGTGAGTGTTAAATAAACCACAAAAAAAACAAAAAAAGGTGACATAAACAACACATGAAATTTCAAATGTCTTCAGTGCTTGATATTGGAATAAATTCAATTATACACCTTGGGCTAAGAGCCCAGTCTGAACATTCCTTCCCCCCAACCCGACCCCCATCACCCCCTCCCCCAGTTCCAGCTGACTCAGTATAATTTTAGCATGTGTACAATTATGTAACTGAAATCAGAAGACACAGATCATATCTGGGGTCAAGTCTGCGTAATCTCTACTTATATAACCAGCATCATAATAAACAGTTTATATTTATGGACTGAAACATGGTGATGGATTGGGGTCCAGGGAAGGGCTTTAATTAATTTTAAAACATTAGTGGAGATAAAATGACTGAACACTAACTTTAGCTCTGTACTGCCAAAACACCACTCCTTTTGGGCACAATTAAAGCTTTCACAGCCAGAAGTTCAGCCACATCATCAAATAGCAATGAAGCACAAGAAATATTTTTCTTGATTAAGCCTAGTTATCAGTAATTCTTATAGCCTTTTCATACAGATAAACCACAACAAGGACCAAATAGTGAATCCCAATTAGCATGTGCCTCCCTGGACAACAATACTAAAGTAACTATAATCTACATGTCAGACTGACCCAAGGGTAACTTTGCTAAAATCCAACTACACAATTCCAGAAAGACAGATAGGTAGGAATCAAGAATAAAGTTCCGTCCACTTATTCATTTCTGAACCCAGGGGTACTGGGATTAGTGATCATAATTTTTCCATCCTAAAGAGAGATGAAATAATTCAGCAAAAGGAGAAAAAAAAAGAGAGAATTTGAGCAGTAGACTTTCTTGAGCTGTATATACTCTCTGAATAAGCCATTGTGGACAGAACTTCTTCATTATCTGTTTAATGCTAAAATGACCACAGTTGGCATATATTACCAGTTCACTAATCTCAAGGCTTACTAGAAAGAGAATTAGTTAGAATCTATGTTCAATTTAGAATCTTGTTAAAATGTGTCTGTGTGACAAATGCCATAATCAAAGCATTTATATTTTAGCATATTTCATTATTAACATGAAACTTCTGGCTTTGTTGTATCTTCTAAATCCATCAAAAGAATGATATTGCTTGTTAGCTGAAAACTATTGAATTGATGTTGTCTTACAAATTGGTGTTAAATCTTATGTAACTGAACTTCAATTCAGTGTTTTTCTAAATGTCATTCTGAAATTAGAAGTTGACTTTCAGCTAATGAAAGCTGAAAGCAGTAAAACCAAAACAAAGTTACCAGAGAGATTGAATAGATTAGTATTAATCTAGCTTTATATAAGATCAGAGCTTTAAGACTTATTGCTGGGTGAGTTTGCATCTCTGAATGCATGTTAGAAATTGACTAATTTTTTTATGCAGGATCAATGGAATGGCATTGACATTC